AAACCGGCCAGGATGAAAGAACATTGTTTGTCAAAAGCCTATCTTTTTGAAGGACAAGTTGAAGGAAAGAAATTCATTAGATACAAAACAAATAAATAGCCCTGGCCAGTTTGGTTCAGCTGATTCCTGGTCAAGGGCACATACCTGGATTGCAGGTTTCATCCCCCGCCCCAGTCTGTGTCTTGCTGGAGGCAACCAATCAATGTGTCTTTCTCACATTGATGTTTCTCTCTCTTTCCCTCCCGCTCTCTCTTCCACTCTATCTAAAAATCAATGGAAATATATTCTCGAATGAGGATTAACAAAAAATAATAACATAAAACAAGTAAATAAAAAATACTTTTACAATTGAGAAAACCGAAAAGAAACCAAGCTTAATTCATAAAATGATAATTATTATTATTTTTTTTTATTTTAGGCCAATCCTCTCACTCCTGTCTGTTGAAATGAGGTCTTGGCATAAAATGTCTCAAGGGGAAAGTATATAAGAGCAGCTGGAACAGGTCATGTGTATATTATTCTAGATTGTGGTTTACTTAATTCACCATCCAGCAGCTGATGGGGTGATTTTGAGAAAAGAGAGGATTGTTTGAGTTTTTTACTTTTATTTATTTATTTATTTCTATTAGTTTATTTTTGTTACAGATATGTCTTCTTTTTCCCCCACTGATGCCCTCCTCCCAATCCCATCCAGTCCCCCATGGCGTTGTTGTTTATGTCCACTGGTTATGTATACGTGTACATAAGTTCTTTGTTTATCTCTCCCCCCCAGCCCTCTGCTGAGGTTTGTCAGTCTGTATCCTGCTTCTATGTCTCTGGGTCTATTTTGTTCATCAGTTTACTTTGTTTATTATATTTCATAAATAAGTGTGATCATGTGATATTTGTCTTTCTCTGATTGGCTTGTTTCACTTAGGATAATAATCTCCAGGTCCCTCGAGGTCCTCTCAAAGGATAAGAGATCTTTCTTTCTTACAGCTGCATAGTACTCCATTGTGTATATGTACCACAGCTTTTTTATCCATTCGTCTACTGATGGACACTTGGGCTGTTTCCAGATCTTAGCTATTGTAAATAGTGCTGCTATGAACATCGGCATACATATATTCTTTTTGATTGGTGTTTCAGGCTTCTTAGGATATATTCCTAGAAGTGAGATCACTGGTTCAAATGGCAATTCAATTTTTACTTTTTGAGGTAATACCGTATTGTTTTCCATAGTGGCTGCACCAGTCTGCATTCCCACCAGCAGTGTACTAGAGTCACCTTTTCTCCACACCCTCACCCGCACTCGTTTGATGATTTGTTGATGGCGGCCATTCTGGTAGGCGTGAGGTGATACCTCATAGTCTTTTCATTTTGAATTTCTCTGATGATTAGTGACATTGAACATTTTTTTGTATGTCTCTTGGCCATTTATATGTCCTGTTTGGAGAGGTGTCTATTTAAGTCCTCTGCCCATTTTTCAATTGGATTCTTTGTCTTACTTTTGTTGAGTTATATGAGTTAATTAATAAAATCAGTTAATATGAGTACTCTGCATATTTTGGAAATAAATTGCTTATCTGATGTATTATTGGCAATTATGCTCTCCCATATAGTGGGTTGCCTTTCCGTGTTGATGCTTGCTTTTTTGCTGTGCAGAAGCTTTTTAGTTTTATGTAGTCTCATTTATTAATTTTTTCCTTTGTTTCTCTTGTTCAATTAATATTTGACAAAGGTGGCAAGAGCATACAATGGAGTAAAGATAGCCTCTTTAATAAATGGTGTTAGGAAAATTAGAGAGCTACATGCAAAAAAAAAAAATGAAATTAGATCACCAACTTACACCACAGACAAGAATAATCTCAAAATGGATAAAAGACATAAATGTGACTTGTGAATCCATAAAAATCCTAGAAGAAAATGTAGGCAACAAAATTTTAGACATCATATGCAGCAGAGTTTTCACTGATGCAATTTAAGGGTTTTTCATTTTTAATTTTGAGGTAATTGCAGGTTCTCACACAGTTGTAAGAAATAATACAGAGATGTCCCATATACCTTTCACCCAATTTTCCTCATCTTACGTAACTATAGTACAGTATCACAACAAGGAAATTGACATTGATATATAGTCCATTGAGCTTATTCAAATTTCACCAGTTTTACATGCACTCGTGTGTGTGTGTGTGTGTGTGTGTGTGTGTGAATTCTATGCAATTTTATTCATGTGGCCATAACCACAGTTAAGATATAAAAGAGTTCCTTCACCTCAGGGGTCCCCAGTATTACCCTGTTACCTCCACCCCAATCTCCTTCTCTCCCTGCCTCCTCAACCCCCTGACAATCTGTTCTTCATCTCTATAATTTTGTCATTCAAGAAATTGAGTTATGAAGTATATAACCTTTTGAGATTGGCCTTTTTCACTCAACACAACTCCTTTGAGATTTACTGACATTGCTGCATATTTCAATGATTCACTCCTTTATATTGCTAGGTTCTATTCCATGGTATGGATGTGCCATACTTTGCTTAACCATTTTCCCATTGAAGGAAATCTGGGTTGTTTCCAGTTTTTGACTATTATAAGTAAAGATGCTATAAACATTTGTAGACAGGTTTTTGTGTAAACATAAATGTTCATTTCTCTGGGATAGATATCTAGGAGTACAGTTATTGGACTGTATGATAAGCATATCCTTACCTTTGTAAAAAAAAAAAACAAAAAAAAACACCATACTTTTCCCCAGAGTGGCTGTGCCATTTTGCATTCCCATCAGCAGTGTATGAGTGATCGAGTTTTTCCACATCCTCTTCAGCATCTAATGCTACTGCTCCTTGTTTTTTATTTTAACCATTCTGATAGGTATGTAGTAGTATCTTATTGTGGCTTTTATTTGCATTTCCCTAATGGCTAATGAGGTTGAACATCTTTTCAGGGGTTTATTTACCGTCTGTATGTCTTCAGTGAAATGTCTATTTATGCCACTGCCATTTTCTAGTTGGTTTGGTTTTTTAATGTTGAATTTTTTTGGAAATATATTTTTATTGATTTTTTTAAAGAAAGAGGAAGGGAGAAGGAGAAAGAGATAGAAACATTGACATGAGAGAGAAACATCAATTGGCTGCCTCCTGCATGCACCCTACTGAGAATCGAGCCTGAAACCCTGGGCATGTGTCTTAACTGGGAATCAAACGGTCACCTTTGGTGCACGGGCCGACGCTCATCCACTGAGCCACACTGGCCAGGCTTTAATGTGAATTTTGAGAGCACTTTATGTATTCTAGGTCAAGACCTTTGTCAGATATATGATTTATAATTATATTCTCCCAGTCTGTAGCTTGCCTTTTTACTTCAAAAAGTTTCTAATTTCGGTGAGGTCAAATTTATCCATTTTCTTTTCATGGATCATTGTCCTGTTGTTAATTCTAAAAGTTTTTTTGCATAGCCCTCAGACCCAAAGATTTTCCCCTATGTGTTATAGGAGTTTTATAGCTTTATAGTTTTATATTTTACACTTAATCCATGATCCATTTTGTGTTAATATTTGTATAAGTTGTGAGGTTTGGGTGACAGTTCATTTTATGCCTATGGATGTTCAATTTCTTCATCACTATTTGTTGACAATATTATTCTTTCTTTACTCAATTCCCTTGGCACTTCAAAAATCAGTTGGGCATATTTGTGTGAATCTATTTCTTTATTATCTATTCTGTTCTCTCCCTCCACCAATATTACACTCTCTTGTTTACTGTAGCTATGTAGAAAGCTTTAATATCAAGTAGAGTGATTTTCAAATTTATTTTAATTATTCCAGTTCTGTGTCTTTCAATCTATTTTATCTCTGCAAACTCATGTCTATAATTTGAATTGCAATCAAGAGTAAATTAGTGCCTGGATTTCAGCCTTGAGAATCAAACAGAATTCTAACCCTTTAATTAAATTTTAAAAGATACTATATTGTCTTGTTGAAATACACTTTTAAAAGAATAAATAGAACTATTTCTATAAATAGGTATTAATAAAATATTACAGTCAACTCACGTTGTATCTGCATTAACTGTATATGTGTTAACCTTAGACCTCAGCCCCAGTAAGATTCTACTTTGTTTTCTTCAATCTTCCTGACAATAAACAAATCTGTTAATTTGTATGGGTTGCAAAGTGTAACTTTAACATAATAGAGCAAACCATGCAAGCAAGAAATAGTTCAGATCACACTACCCATCCCACATTCACATAGACAGATTTAACAGTTATCTTAACTCCGAATTTAACATTTTTAAACAAATAGAACTTTAAAAATAGCTTTTAAACTGAGACTTAAGAATATTATCTCAGAGGCTGCACATGAAAAATAGATACTTGAGGTGACAACTGAGATAGAGTTGCCCTTGCAATGATGTATCTCTTGTGACCAGCTCCCTTTAAGACAGATCTGTTGAACAACAGGTGTGAAGGGCTGTGTGCTATACAGACTGAACCCCCAACTCTCACTTTGCCCCAAAGAGGCATCATTTGTTCCACAGCTCATCTTATTCCAACAATCCATGTTATAAAGGGATCAATTGAACTTACACATTTTGGGAGAAAATTCTTTCTCAAGGATTTCTTAAATTCTCCAGTTGATTTTGTACAGGATGGAACAACAGGTGTAAGAGGCAAAATTAGAATTCTCCTTCCTTGTGTCTGTGCATTAGTCTTCATTTTTTGCCCTAAAATGATACATGGAGAATTCCCAGTCCAGAGAAGCTGTCTCATATCAAGCTTCTTAGAAGCAAAGCCTGAGATGGGGATCTGTGTGCACGTGGTTTATTGAAGGAGTGTTCTGAGGAGTGAGGGTGAGAAAAGTGAGGGCAGATGTGGTCTCAGCTGAAGTCAGGTTCCAGGCTCCTCCCAGGGAGAAGTTCTGATCATAATTTGCACAGTGGAGTCTATCCTGGCCTAAGGCAACAGAGCCAGCCTTTGAATTATGTATTTACCAGTCATTGACTACAGGCTGGACCAGGTAGGGACATGTACACAGATGGTATAACCCCCCCGGGTTAAGAGATTTCCATCAGACTGAGGACACCATCAGCATCCAGTACAAGGGTCTTAATGATCAACAGAACTAGACAGAGCCCAGAAATACTGCATCCTCGGCTACCTTGAGGTAGGTTGGTTCTTTGTTTATTTGTTGGGACATTATTTAATCAATGATGTAGATTCTTCCAGGTACCTCTGGGACTGTTCAGACATTAGTAGAGAGGGAGACTACATTCCTTTTGGAACATTGGAGACACAGGTGATACAATTCAAAGCTAAGAAACCTTTATAGATCAGAAATTAGGGAAGATCTGCTTAACTTTAAAATTAGCCAGAAAAGTCTTTTGGGTTCAGTCTTTGAAGAGAATTCCTATAAAACATGAGCGCTTAGAGACTCCATTAGAGTAAACATAATTAACTTTTGTAGTAAAGATAGATAGCCCCTCGGGGCCTCTAGGCCATTATGCTAAACACAAGTTCTCATTCTCCTGCCTTAGAGGCAGAAAGGTGTAGAACTTGGAATTCTCTGTGCAGCTTCCCAATGCCACTTGGAAATTGCCTTGCCTAAAAACCATGAACTCACAATGTGAACATATTTTGCGGCCTATTTTTCCCTTAAAGACAGACTAGTTTATTAGAAGATCAAGTTGCTTTACAGTTTTTTCCTTCCTGTGCTCTGGGAGCAGATCAAGTACCCAAGGTCATCTATGCATCATACCTGCTGAAAAGCCCGAGACAATCACGTCAACACTTCAGTGAGAGGATGTTCAGGAAGGAAGTTGGATACAGGGCTAATGTTAGTGACCCAGGCTTTTCCATGTATTGTTCTTTAAGGCAACTCTTGGAGGTCTCTGGGAAATGCTTTGTGTTTGAATTAGTTTCTAGCAAAAGAGGATGATTAGAAATAACTGGAGATACTACCGGAGTGCTTAGCACTGTTCTAAGTTTGGGAACTACTTGTGTAAGAAAGTAAATTCTCTACATTTGCAAGAAAATGACACTCTAGAAGTTTGCTTAACTCCAGGTCAGGTGGGACGAATGACCCCTCAAGTAACTTTACAAGTCCAAGACCTGTGGACAAAGAAGTGGTTCTCAACTCTAATATTGGAAACTTTCTGACCCAGACATCACCCATCTTGTTCTTCATCCACAGGCATTTACTTACTGTCGTCATAGCCAACCCACGATATACTCAAACAATAATTAGAAATTCATGTTCCTGTATCTTAATTTCACACCACTAAAAACAGAAGTAAATCAAACTTCAGAGGCTGTTTTGTCTAGAGCAGCGGTTCTCAACCTGTGGGTCGTGACCCCTTTGGGGGTCGAACAACCCTTTCACAGGGGTCACCTAAGACATAACAGTAGTAAAATTACAGTTATGGCCCTGGCCAGTTTTGCTCAGCGGTTAGAGCGTCGGCCCACAGACCAGGGAGTCCAAGGTTTAGTTCCTGCTAAGGGCATGTACCTAGATTGCAGTTGTCCCTGGCCCCAGTTGCGGTTGTGTGGGTGGCAACCAGTCAATATGTTTCTCTCACATCAATGTCTCTCTCTCACTCTTCATTCCTCTCTCCCTCCTGCTATGTCTGGAGATAAATGCAAAAAAATGTCCTCGAGTGAGGATAAAAAAAATATTACAGCTATGAAGTAGCAACAAAAATAGTTTTATGGTTGGGGGTCACCACAACATGAGGAACTGTTAAAGGGTCACGGCATTAGAAAGGTTGAGAACCACTGGGAGAATTACAGAAATATTAAAGATCTTAGAGCTGGAAAAAATCTCAAAATATCTTCAGGCTGATAAAGCATCACAGGTGGGGCTATAAGTGCGAATCCATCTAAGTGTCATGCAGACTGGAGGGTGACTTCCCATCTGTTATCTGATAAATTGCTGCCAAGCACAGCTTTCTCCCCAAAAACTTCAAGTCAATATGGACCCACAGTATTACCAAAGTGGGACTCCCGCTTAGTCACTACAACTGAACATCCCCTGTAGCCAGCCCCAGCCTGAAATATTTACAGAAGAATAGCCCACAAGCCCTGAATATTAACATTTCCCCCAGTAATTTGTATAGTATTACTGGAAATACGTTGAAGTCTTGAGACATCTTTTGGCAGAATCACAGGGCTTCTGCTGCTCTTTTAGGACAGGTCTGAGTCAAGCCTCCCCATATACAAAATTAATCTAGCTGCCATTGTTCCTTAATTCCCAAAGTGCATTTTGGCTTTCTTTAGGTAGAAGGCTTTTAATGGCCAGTGATTCTAAAAGGATTATATGGTTCTCTTGAAAGGCTGGTTTATTTTTATAGACTATAGCCAAAATAGTTGTTAAAATCATTATGCATTAACCCTGGCTGGTAGCTCATCTGGTTATGGCATCATCTGATATGCTAAGGTTGTGGGTTTGACCCCAGGTTAGGGTAAAGGCAGGAATCAACCAATGAGTGCATGGATGGGTGGAGTGGTAGGTCGATGTTTTCTCTCTCTCTCTCTCTCTCTCTCTCTCTCTCTCTCTCTCTCTCCCCCTTCCTTTCTCTAAAATCAATTTTTAAAAAAGATATTTTTTAAATATCATCATGCATTGATTCAATAAATTTTATTGAACATCTACTATGTTCCAGACACTATTCTAGGTAAAGAGAATACAGCCATAAATAAACAAAGTCCTTGCCTTCATTCAGATTAGAGTCATGATGGCTCTGCTGGTGTGGCTCAGTGGATTGAGCGTTGTATCATGGACTGAGAGGTCCCGGTTCCATTCTCAGTGAGGGCAATTGCCCAGGTTACGGGCTTGATTTCCAGTAGAAGGAGTGCAAGAGGCAGCTGATGGATTTTTCTTCCTCACATTGATGTTCTAACTCTTTCTTAAAAAAAAAAAAAAAAGTGTAATGATGGCAGCAGACAGTAATTCAGTAACTATAAAATATAGTCTCAAGTAGTGCTAAGGGCTTAGAAAATATTGTCAGGCAGGATAAGGGAAATAAACTGGCAGAGGCTATAGGAGTGAGAGGTGGTGATATTTTAGAAGTCAAGAAAAATTTATCTGAGATTATGACATTTAAGCAGAGACCTATAAGAAGGGAAGGAGCAAGAGATAAAAATATTTGTTGGGGGGGGGGGGGGTCAAGGGGAGCCGAGAACAGCCTGTGTCAAGATTCTGAGGCAGAAGAGTTCTTGGTAAGCTCAAGGAAAAGCAGGAAGTGATTGAACCTAGCGCTGAGTGAATCAGGGAAGACAAGCAAGGAGGTGGCCCTGGTGAGATCATGTAGGCCCTTGTAAGCCATGGTCAGGACATCAACTCAATGTTCACTGTTGTAGGGAATTTCCACCACAGGGGATTATAATAAACAGCTTCTGCTTTCTGAAAGTTTTGCAAAAATTCTCCTCCAGGTCCCACATATTAGCCAGAAAAAACTGCAGGTCACTGGCAGTCTTTCAGAAATCTTTGAGGATTTCTTTAGGAGTTTTAAGTAAGTACAACTATAAGCAGGCATTAAATTAAGTGAACTCCAAGACCAATCTTGGCTGTATAGCCTTTGAAAATCTATCTCAAGCAAAACTAGTTCCAGTTCACTAATAAGACCTTCAAAGGTGGGGTTCTCTGTTGTGAGTTTATGAAAATCTTTGACAAAATCCACTCATGTGTTATAAAGGTTTTGGCATTGGAAGCTTTTCTACCAAAAACTATGTCTGAGAGAGAAAGGATGAAAGTTGCAGATAACCTGGATGTCCACTGTTTTATAGCTTCTTGCCAAATATTCTTTGTCTTTTTTACTAAAGGAAATAAGTCCACTCAAAGACTATATTCTAATTATTTCTCTATAGTTTAAAATAATATTCAGATCATCTGCATCTTGTATGAGAAAAAATTAATTCCACATATTTTTGCTCCAAATATGTAAATTCATAAAAACTCTGTCATACTTTAATTTCAGTTGTTATTGTATTTAAGCACCTATTGATGGAAAATTTGATGTCTTGTTATTTCCTCTGCTTTTTATTTTTAGCCAGATTGAATGACAAATATAGTAAGCACAGCTTGTTTTTAAATTTAGGTCAACAATAAGTAATTACAATTCTTTATTTTAAATTTTAGTGGTGGCATTTTCCAGGGGAAACTAATAGGCTTCATTTGTGACTCCAGATTTCCATATGATCTGCACACCCAATCCAACAGCCACACCACTGAGAATGTGATTACAGGTTTTGAATTGAATAGAGAAAACAAATGGTGGCAATCCAAAAATGGTATGATTGAGTTTCTTTCTAATTTTTTCTTTATAGTTTTAATAAGGTGTCTTAATGTATGATTTGAACAATGTCAGAGCTAGGAGTTATGTTGAAATGGAACAATATCCACCAGAATGTACAGCCCCATATAAAAATAAATTTTCTTTTCATTTTAAGGAAGATTATTTTTTTCTACAGAAATAGAAATGTATTTTAAGCACATAACTCAGAAGGTTTCACTTTTTTCATTTATGAGCAGAAAATATATCTGCATTCTTTTATTATTTGTAAACAAAATAATAAGGAAGTTTATGAGGTATTGGTAAATAAAGACTAATATAAAACACACTAAGTGGGGAAAATGGAGGTGGAGTGAATAGAAGCTACACAGACAATCTCCCAGAACCAAAGTAAAATACAACTAAAATAAAGACAAATCCTCAGAAAAAAGCAACAGAAAAGCAGCAGGAAAGGACCATATAACCAGGGACACTGGTAGGATCTGTGGAGGCGTGAAAGGGTGGTGGGCTGGGAGCCCAAGCACAGCAGCAGTCTTAGCTGTGAGTAGCGCCCTTGGGGAATAAAGACCAAGCCTGCTCCACAGTGCAGAGAGCCAGGACAGAGCTCTAAAATAGCCACAGCCACTCACCTGGGGGCTACAGCAGAGGGAGGGCAGACCGGGCTGGAACTCTGTGGGGACACCTGGGATTTGGAGGGCACTCAGAGATTTTACTGAGTTTCGGCCACAAAGGACAGTGGCCAGTGTGCTCCTTCCCAGAGCTGTGGGGAAAAGCAGCAGCCTCACCCCGACCTGGAAATTCAGCCTTTCCCAGGTGAAGCAAAAACATGCAAATTGAGGCTCATTAACAACCAGCATCTATCCCACCCTCTGAAAATCCTCTTATGCAGAACACCAGGGCTACATTCCAAGGCACTGAGTAACTGAGACTACTAGCCACCAGGAAAAAGCTAGAGGATAACTCAATCTTTCCTGGGCTTGCAAATCTACCCAGAGAAGTAAGACTTGACAGTGCTGTTTAATGTGGGCTGACAGAGACTCATCCAAACGCAGTAAAGGAAGTCACAAACAGCAGAACACCAACGCTCACAGGGAAAATATGGCAGGCTCGAAAACCCACTGAGATAGCCAAAATGGTGAAACAAAGAAACAAATCCCAAAGGAAAGAACAACAGAACTCTACCAAAGATGAGCTAAAAGAAATGCAGTTAAGCAAATTATCAGAGGTAGAGTTCAGAGCCATGATCTTCAGGAAGCTCAACAGCATGAGTAAGGACATCAGCACCATGAGTAAAAATATAGAAACATTTCCACGAAGTGGAAATGAAGAATGACATAGCAGAAATTAAGAACACTTGGAAGGACTAACCAGAAGAGTAGAGGAAGCTGAGGACCAGATCAGTGAATAAGAAGACAGGGTAGAAAAAATCAACCAATCAGAAAAACAAAAGGAAAAACAATTAAAAAACAGGAAGACAGCTTAAGAGAACTGTGGGACAACTGGAAACATAACATTCACATCATAGGAGTTTCTGAAGAAGGAGAAAATGGGCAAAGAATAGAGAATATATTTGATGAAATAGTGACAGAAAATTTTCTAACTTGGTGAAGGAAGAAGGCATTCAAGTTCAAGAAGCACAGAGAGCCCCAAGTAAGAAGAACCAAACAGGCCCACACTAAGACACACAGTAATCAAAGTGCCAAAAATTAAAGACAAAGAGAGAATCCTAACGGCAGCAAGAGATAAGCAATAAGTTACCTACAAAGGAAACCCCATAAGGCTCTCAGCTGACTTCTCACAAGAAACACTACAAGCCAGAAGGGAGTGGCATGAAGTAATCAAGGTCATGAAAAACAAGGATCTGATTTCAAGACTCTATCCAGCAAGGCTATCATTCAAAATACAAGGTCAAATAAAGAGCTTCCCAGACAGAAAAAAAAAAAAAAGCTAAAGGAAGATATTTTCACCAAACCAGTACTACAAGATACTAAAAGAACTGCTGTAATTAGTAGAAAAAAGAAACAGAAAGAAAAATATAACCACATTAAACAAAAATGGCAATAAATAAGTACATAAAAATTATCACCTTAAATGTAAATGGATTGAATGCTCTGATAAAAAGAAATAGAGTAGCTGACTGGATAAGAAAGCATGACTCATATATATGTTGTTTACAAGAGACCCACCTCACAACAAAAGACTCACATAGGTTGAAAAGTGAAGAGATGAAAAAAACCTTTCAAGCAAACAAAAAGAAAAAAAGGCTGGGGTAGCCATACTCATATCTGAAAAAGTAGATTCGAAATGAAGGCAATAACTAGAGACAAAGAAGGCCACTACATAATATTGAAAGGATCTATCCAACAGGAAGATACAGCCTTAATAAACATATATGCACCCAATATAGGAGCACCAAAATATATTTAAAAACTTCTGGAGGACTTCAGACAGCAGAAAGGAGAAATCGACAGCAATACAATCATAGCAGGGAACTTCAACATCCTGTTGATATTACTGGATAGATCATCTAGACAAAATAATAACAAAAAAAACAGAGACTCTAAATGAAGTGCTAGATCAAATGTATTTAATAGATATCTACAGAGAGTTACACCCCTAAACTGCAGAATTCACATTCTTCTCAAGTGCACATGATAAATTCTCAAAGATAGACCACATGTTAGGCCACAAACTATGTCTGTACATGTTGAAGAAGATTGAAATCATATCAAGCATCTTCTCAGATCACAATCGCATGAAACTAGAAGTCAATAGCAACAAGAATATGCAAAGACATTTGAAAACATGGAGGCTAATAGCATGTTATTGAACAATGAATGGGTTACCATGGAGATCAAGGAAGAAATTAAAAACTTCCTGGAAACCAATGAAAATGAACACACAACAACACAAAATCTGTGGGATGCAGTGAAAGCAATTCTGAGAGGGAAGTTCATAGCACTACAAGCCCACCTCAAGAAACAAAAACAAATTCTAATTGACTACCTAACCTCATAACTTAAAGAACTAGAAACCAAACAAAAAGAAAACCCCAGAGCAAGTAGAAGGAAGGAAATAATAAAGGTCAGAACAGAAATAAATGACATGGAGACAAAAAAAAAAAATTCAAAGGATCAATGAAACAAAGAGCTGGTTTTTCATAAAGATAAACAAGATTGATAGGCTCTTAGCTAGATTCACCATGAAACATAGAGAGAGAACCCAAATGCACAAAATCAGAAATGAAAGAGGAGAAGTAATAACTGACACCACAGAAATACAAAGGATCGTTAACAAATACTGTGAACAATTATATGACAACAAATTGGACAATCTAAGCGAAATAGACAAATTTCTAGAAGCACATAGTCTCCCAAAACTGAACCAGGAAGAGATAGAAAACTTGAACAGATCAATAACAACAAAAGAAATTGAAGATGTAATCAAGACTCTCCTAGCAAACAAAAGCCCAGGCCCACTTCATGGGTGAGTTTTACCAAACATTTAAAGAAGAACTAACACCCATTCTTCTTGAACTATTTCAAAAAATTCAAGAAGAAGGAAGACTTCCAAACTCTTTTTATGAGGCCAGCATAATTTTAATTCCAAAACCAGACAAAGACACTACAAAGAGAGTGAACTACGGGCCAATATCCCTGACAAACATAGATGCCAAAATCCTGAACAAAATACTAGCAAATTGGATCCAGCAATACATCAAAAAAATTATTCACCGTGACCAAGTGGGATTCATCCCAGGGATGCAAGGCTGGTACAATATTTGCAAATCAATAAATGTCATACACCACATAAACAAAATGAAAGATAAAAACCATATGATCATATCAATAGATACTGAAAAGGATTCGACAAAAATCATTTCTGATTAAAAAAAAATGGGGGAATAAAGGGATTATATCTCGACATAATAAAGGTCATATATAAAAGACCTACAGCCAACATCATATTCAATGGACAAAAACTAAAAGCATTTTCCTTAAGAACAGGAACAAGACAGAGATGCCCAATTTCGCCACTCTTATTTCACATTGCACTGGAAGTCTTAGCCACAGCAATCAGACATAAAGAAAAAATAAAAGGGATCCAAATTGGAAAGGAGGAAGTGAAACTGTCATTATTTGCAGATGACATGATATTATACATAGAAAACCCTAAAAACTCCATGAAAAATCTACTAGACTTAACAAATGAAATTGGAAACATAGCAGGATACAAAATGAATATCAAGAAATTGACAGCATTCTTATACACTAATGATGAACTCACAGAAAGAGAAACTAAAAATACAATCCCATGTACCATCACAGCAAAAAAATTAAGATACTTAGGAATGAACTTAACCAAAGAAATAAAAGACCTATTTGCAGAAAATTACAGGACATTGAAAAAAGAAATAAAGGAAGATATAAAAAAGTGGAAGCACATACCTTGTTCATGAATTGAAAAAATTAACATCATTAAAATGTTCATACTACCCAAAGCAATCTATAGATTTAATAAAATCCCCATCAAAATACCAATGACATATTTCACAAAACTAGAACAAATACTTCAAAAGTTCATATGAGACCAAAAGAGACCCTGAATAACCACAGCAATCTTGAAAAAGAAGGACAAAGTAGGTGGGATCACAATACTGGATATCAGGTTATACTACAGAGCTCCTATAATCAAAACAGCCTGGTACTGGTACAAGAACAGGCATATAGATCAATGGAATAGAAAAGAGAATCCAGCTCTGGCCAGTTTAGCTCAGCAGTTAGAGAGTTGGCCTGTGGTCCAGAGAGACCCGAGTTCGGTTCCCACTAAGGGTGTTACCTCGGTTGCAGTTTGTCCCCAGCCCTGGTTTGGTTGTGTGGGTGGCAACCACTTGATGTGTCCCTTTCACGTCAATGTCTCTTTCTCTCTCTTCCTCCCACTCTATCTGAACAAAAAATGGAAAAATGTCCTCGGGTGAGGATAAAAAAAAAGAACCCAGAAATTGACCCAAAATATTATGCTCAATTCATATTTGACAAAGGTGGCAAGAGCATACAATGGAGTAAAGACGGCCTCTTTAATAAATGGTGTTGGGAAAATTGGACAGCTACATGCAAAAAAATGAAACTAGACCATCAACTTATACCACACATAAGAATAAACTCGTGGAAAAAGGCAGGAGAGTGGAGGTAGTGGGAAGGAGGGCGTCAATGGGGGGAAAATGAGAAACATTTGTAATACATTCAACAATAAAGATAAAAAAAAAAAAAGAATAAACTCAAAATGGATAAAAGACTTAAATGTGACTCATGAGTCCATAAAAATTTTAGAGGAAAATGTAGGCAACAAAATTTCAGACATCATACGCAGCAGAATTTTCACTGATACATCACCTAAGGCAACAGAAACAAAGGAGAAAATGAACACATGGGACTACATCAAACTCAAAAGCTTCTGCACAGCAAAATAAACAACCATCAAAATGGAACGGGAACCCACTGTATGGGAGAGCATAATTGCCAATGATACATCAGATAAGGGCTAATTTCCAAAATATTTAGAGTGCTCATACAGCTCAACAAAAGGAAGACAAAGAACCCAATTAAAAAATGGGCAGAGGAGCTGAATAGACACCTCTCCAAACAGGACATACAAATGGCTAAGAGACATATGAAGAAATGCTCAACATCACTAATCAGCAGAGAAATGCAAATTAAAACAACAATGAGGTATCACCTCACACCTGTCAGAATGGCTGTGATTAACAAAGCATCAAACAACAAGTGTTGGCGAGGGTGTGGAGAAAATGGGATGCTAGTACACTGCTGGTGGGAATGCAGACTGGTGCAGCCACCATGAAAAACAATATGGTGTTATCTTAAAAAATTAAAAATTGAATTGCAATTTGACCCAATGATTCCACTTCTAGGAATATACCCTAAGAAGCCTGAAACACCAATCAGAAAGAATATATGTGCCCCTATGTTCATAGCAGCACTATTTCCAATCGCTGAGATCTGGAAACAGCCCAAATGTCCATCAGTAGATGAATGGATAAAAAGGCTGTGGTACATATACACAATGGAGTGCTATGCAGCTGTAAGAAAGAAAGATCTCTAATTCTTTGAGATGATATGGAGGGACCTGGAAAGTATTATCCTAAGCAAAACAAGCCAAGCAAAGACAAATATCACATGATCTCACTTATTTGTGGAATATAATGAACATAGTAGTCTGAGGGACAGGGTAGTCCCAGAGACATGGACGTAAAGTATAGACTGACAGTCCTCAGAAGAGGGGTTGGAGGGGAGAGATAAACCACAGAACTTATATGCATGTACGAATAACCAATGAACATGGACGACAAATCTGGGGACGGGGCAGCGAGAGATGAGGAGGAGGGTGTCCTTGGGGGAAAAAGGAGAAACATCTGTAACAAAAATTAATTAATTAATTAATTAATAAAAATATTAACTACATGTTGAAATGAGAATATTTTTTATTTATTGGGCTAAACATATTAAAAATTATTTCACCCGCTTGAATGTGGCTGCCAGAAAATTTTAAATGACACTAGTGAGTCATATTTCTGTTGTACACTCCACTTTAGAGAGATCAGGGCTTCTGTTATGTCCAGATTAGGGCCAATCTTCCATGTCCATGCTAGAGATGATGGGAGCTAATCACCTCAGTGCAGAGTTCTGGCCAGGGTATCTCCATCTTCTCCTTTGTGTCTGAGGTTCCAAGCTGTGTTTTATGCTAACAATCAAACTAGTTCAAATGATTGCTAGCAGCCATTGGAAGAATAGGGTGTGTGGATTTTACCATGCTCTGTCTTGCTAGCTCACATTTGTGCCTAATTAAGATTTGAGTTCAGCCCTGGCCAGTTTGGCTCCGCAGTTAGAGCGTCGGCCTGTGGTCCGGAGAGACCCGGGTTCGGTTCCCGCTAAGGGCACGTACTTCGGTTGCAGTTTGTCCCCGGCCCTGGTTGGTCGTGCGGGTGGCAGCCACTCGATGTGTCCCTTCACGTCGATGTTTCTCTCTCTCTCTCTCTTCCTCTCTCTCCCTCCCACTCTATCTGTACAAAAATGGAAAAATATCCTCGGGTGAGGATTAAAAAAAAAAAAAAAAAAAGATTTGAGTTCAAGAAAATGAGCTCTTTTGTTCCACCTGTGGAAAATGTCCTGGAGCTCCTTTGGTGGTATGTAACACTGCCATGCTATGGCCATATGCACTGCCACCAAAACATGGATGTGAGCACAGTCTTGGTAAACCCTTATTGTTCTCATTGTAGACCTTCTCTTGGGAATGGAATGGCATGAGAAACCACTCTAATAGACTAGGAAAGTGTTGCTCACCAGCCATGTAATTTCAAAGGGTTTTATTATAGACAAGCCATAGGGATGGATTATCATGATAAACAGGGGTCTCTCAAAATCATCGATTTTCTTCTTTCTGGATTTTTTTTAGGTCTTGATCATGTCAACATCAGATTGGACCTGGAGGCATTATTTCAGTTCAGCCACCTTATTCTGACCTTGAAGGTATAGATATGTAGGTTTGCTGCTCCTTTTATCTACTTACCAAATGTTGGGCTTACATGAAATTTTGCTTCCTTGCAGAGAACAAAAAGCTGTGTATACCTAGACTCAAGCTTTGTCATTGGGGTTCTTGTTCTCTAATGAAAACAAAATACCACTGCTCATTAATTAGTAACTTATATAGTCAACAACAATAAAAATGTCTTAAAAATAAAGCAGCCCTGGCCGGTTTGGCTCAGCGGTTGGAGCGTCGGCCTGCGGTCCAGAGAGACCCGGCTTCGGTTCCCGCTAAGGGCACGTACCTCGGTTGCAGTTTGTCCCCAGCCCTGGTTGGGTTGTGCGGGTGGCGACCGCTTGGTGTGTCCCTTTCGCGTCAATGTTTCTCTCTCTCGCCCTCCTACTCGATCTGAACAAAATATCAAAAAAATGTCCTCGGGTGAGGATAAAAAAATAAATAAATAAATAAAGCAAAAGGGAAAACACCACACACTGGGGGATAGAGCCCATGAGAATAAAAATTATACATTCAGAAGAAAAGGGCAGGAACTGGAATTATTAGAAAAATATGGAAAGATTGTGATCAAAAGAGGAAGAGATATTAAAGGGCTTTTGCTAAGGTTAGTGAGATGCAACAGAAAACCCTGTGCTATAGTCGTTTCTAATCATTCATGAAGGTTCTAATTTTTATTTCAGGTCTACTGCTAAGTTGTGGTAATAAAAATAATGAATATAAAATAAAAATTTATAAAAATTGAATTAAAAAAAAACACAAGTCTTTGCCCTCAAAGAGCTCACAGTCTAGTCATGAATACAAACACATATATAAATTTAAAATTATAATACTGGGTGATAGATGCATAGACATATGATTAGAATGCTGGGGATTTCATTGACAAGGCTAGACCTGTTCTGGAGAATCCAGATAAACTTCAGGGTAGATTTTCAAGGATGTATAAGAATTTGCCAGAGGAAAAGCATTCCAGGCCAAACAAAACAAAACAAAAAACCACATGCAAATTGCTAAAAAAAAAATAAATAGCAATTACAATAGCTTTTAAAAAATTAATATGCCGTTTTCCTTCAATTAATGTCACATGGTCATAAACATTTTAAAAATGGAATTAGATTCTAGGGTAAAATATGTGCTCATAAATACTTGCTCACTTTGCCTAGGCTAGTTTGGCTCAGTAGTTAGAGCATTGGCCCGTGGACCAGAGGAACCCGGGTTCGGTTCCCACTAAGGGCACGTACCTCGGTTGCAGTTTGTCCCTGGACCCGATTGGGGTTGTGTGGGTGGAAACCAGTCGATGTGTATCTCTCATATCGATGTTTCTCTCTCTCTTCCTCCCTTTCTCCCTCCTGCTCTATCTGAAGATAAATGCAAAAATGTCCTCAGGTGAGGATAAAAGAACAATTTAAAAAAATTATTTGCCTACTTTTGGAAAGAGATTTGGTACATTCATTGTATAGAGATTTTTAAAAATACAAATAAAGTTTGAAAATATAGAATTAGACAATATAAATAGTTGCTGTGAAGTATGTAATAAAATCTCCCTTTGTGAAGCATTATAAGTTTAACTCATTCTTCCATAGACTTTTCGACCGGCCGCAATGTTAGCTGAACATTCCACAGACTATGGACACACCTGGAAATTGTTTAAATATTTTGCAGAAGATTGTGCTGCCATCTTTCCCAACATCACATCTGGCCAGGCCCAGGGAGGGGAGACTTTGTTTGTGATTCTAAATATTCAGATATGGAACCCTCAACTGATGATGAGGTAGCATTTCCTTTCTTGTATTTCTTTGAAGTAAAACAAACCACTTTTGTTGGTGGTGTTAATGGGGTTAATTTGGATGAAAACAATTTGGGTAGAGTTTGCTGAAAAATAACTTGAACTATTTGGTTTTAAGAATGACAGAGTTTAGTCCGACAGGTGTGGCTCAGTGGTTGAGCGTCGACCAATGCACCAAGAGGTCAACTGGTTCGATTTTGGTCAGGGCACATGCCCAGTCCCCAGTGGGGGGCATGCAGGAGGTGGCCAATCAATGTTTCCTCTCATCGATGTTTCTGTCTTTCTCTCCCTCTCCCTTCTTCTCTTTCCAAAATCAATAAAGAATGGCAGAGTTTAAATTGAAATGAGTGCTGAATTCATCTCAGATAAATATGCAGATAAATAATAAATACATTTTAAGATTTTAAGACACAGTGTCCACCTGAAGATGAGCAGAGGCTAAAATCCAGGGTGGACACCAGGGCATGGGAATCCAGAGGAAGGAATACCTGTTTCTAACCCTAGCAAGGGAGCATATAGGCTAGTGCAGATCTGGATTAGTCATCTCATCTCCCTGCTCTATAACCCACCAGTCAGATGGAATCTGCTAGGAACATCCCTTTGAGCAAAGTTGGTAACTGGCAGAGGGTTAGGGTAGGAGTGGGATTGGCAGGTATTATCTTATCAGGGTAGTAGAAAGAATCGGTGGCAAACAGCAGCTTGAGAATTCCCTGCCAAATTCAAATTAATGATAACTTACTGAATTGTGACCCTATAGCTCCACATCAACCCAGAGCAAGAGCCCTTTTGACCTATGGTATCACAGCTTCTTCCTACATGCACCACATAAAGAGCTAAAATTACTGTTTATAATTTCCATTTTCTTTCTTGGTGCTTTAATTCATATGAAAACGCAATGATAACCTGTATCCTATTCTAGCTGGGAGGCAATAGTTCAGCCTTCTTGTAAGATCAGGATCTCTTCTTTCAGAATATATCATTTAGCAATAAAGTTTTGGGGTAAAATACCTTACATTTATCTACATTTTTTTACAGGTTGTTTTAAAAGTTTTGGATCCCAGCCCTGGCTGGTTTGGCTCAGTGGTTAGAGCGTCGGCCTGAGGTACAGAGAGACCCGGGTTCGGTTCCCGCTAAGGGCACGTACTTCGGTTGCAGTTTGTCCCCGGCCCTGGTTGGTTGTGCGGGTGGTAGCCACTCAATGTGTCCCTTTCACGTCGATGTTTCTCTCTCTCTCTCTTCCTCTCTCTCCCTCCCACTCTATCTGTACAAAAAATGGAAAAATGTCCTCAGATGAGGATAAAAAAAAAAAAGTTTTGGATCCCAGCTTTGAAATAGAAAACCCCTACAGTTCCTACATCTAAAGTATGAATTGCTTTATATTTTTCATATGTTTTCTAAAAATCTCATGTTAGAAATATTCCTTGTCATTACATTTCTATGGTACATTAAGGGGGTGCCAGTCAAAAGGGCACCTTGAACCAATACAACCTAAATGCACTTTGATTTAAATTTTTCTTTCTCTAGACCTTGTTACATTAACAAATCTGAGGACAAACTTTACAAACTTTACTCCCTTGGGGATACTTTGCTTGGAAGGAGGCAAAATGATTCCCTTGATAAATACTACTATGCCCTGTATGAGACAGTGGTTCAGGGCAGCTGTTTTTGCAATGGCCATGCTAGCAAATGTGGCCCAATGCAGAAGACTTCTGGAATGGTGACTTACTTATCCAGAAGAGCAATTGATTGTCCTACCTTTCCTTACTGTCCTGGTGCTCAGTATAGATCAGACTTTCTTTTTTTTTTTATCCTCACCCGAGGACATTTTTGCATTTATCTTCAGATAGAGCAGGAGAGAGAAAGGGGGGAAGAGAGAGAGAGAAACATCGATGTGAGAAAGACACATCGAGTGGTTGCCACCCACATGACCCCAACCAGGTCCAAGGCCAAACTGCAACCAAGGTACGTGCCCTTAGCAGGAACCGAACCTGGGACACTCTGGTCCGTGGGCCGATGCTGTATCCGCTGAGCCAAACCAGTCAGGGCAGGTCATACTTTCTATATAGGGATCAACAAAGTGCCAGCCTGTGTCAGGGCAGGTATGATTCAACCTGGCCTGAGAGAGATTCTTGAGAATTCTGCCACATATGGGTATTATTGAACTCATGACCAAAACTTATAACATAATTTTACAATAGCCCATCTTGCTCTCTTTTTGCTATTTGGTGAGGAGGACCCATAAATTCACATACATCTCTCATGAAAATTTATTGATGGTCTATTGTACTCAGTGCCATGATGTTTGAATAATACCTGATATTGTAAAATGCTCACACCAAGTAACAATCTTACACTATGAATGACTGTGTGTTCATAGTGCAAATCTCTTCCTTTGTTGGGACCAGTCTTAAAGAGTGATGTAGTAGAAGAATTGTATTTTCATGCAGAGTCCTGGGGGTGAATCTACTAAATACTTAAACTATTATTTGAATCAGACAAAGCTTAATGTCAGGCTATTGCACCTTCTTACTAGGCCATCTCCATGTTTCAGTGGGAATAAAACTTCTCCCTTAGAAATTGGGCATTGATGGCATTTTGTGGAGAATCACACACCTTTCTCCAGTTTCTTTCTGTTTTCTAATTTCCTCTTTTCCCTTATGCTTCTAAACCACCCTGGACACACACACACACACACACACACACACACACACACCCCATCTTAACCCTCACTTTGCTGAGGGCTGCAATGTGCTGCCCTGACACTAGTGTTGAGAAATACCAAAAAATGTATTGTAAGTGTTTACTAAACATTTTACATTTTTTCATTGTAAAGGCTATTTAAGCAAATAATAAAAGGTAGTCCAGATTGGTATTGTAACTAACATATGGGAACATAAAGATTCAGAGAGGCCTGTGGCCTGATAATTCACTTTCTGTTTAAAGAACTACAGCATCCTCAAGGATGAGCCCTCTCTTAACAGTTTGTTTATCACACAGTGCAGGTTCATGGCCGATGTGCCTGTCAGCACAATATAGATGGTCACACTGTGAGCGATGCAAGGACTTCTTCCAGCATGCTCCTTGGAGGCCAGCTGCAGGCCTCCAGGACAGCACTTGCAGACGTGAGTGGAGAAGAGGTCTCAGCACAGACCAAGTGTGCTCTGTGTTTCCTTACTTTGAAGAACATTTGTTCACTTGCACTGCAGCAAAATGTGGTGAACCTGCAGCTTCCAGCTTCAACTGTGTGATATGCTGATGTCTCCCAATATCTCACATGGAAGAATCACCAACGTCTCAAGCCTTCACACCAAAAGTTAAGATTAATTTGAAAAATGAAACAGTATGATTGTTGGGTGGCCCCTTTCTTGGAGAGAGAAAGAGCCATGTAATATCAGCAGGGATGGTGCCAATGCAGGAATTGGGTGAGCACTAGATTTGGTACAGAGATCCCTACTCTTTTTCTGGATAGTCATACAGTCCATGAACGTGACCTTAAATCCATATGTCAGATAATAGGAGAAATGAGGTCTAGGCTGAGTTTGACAGGCTATTGTAGTTATTATGAAATATTTAGGCTAATAAGGTGCAGGGGGTTTTTTTGTAATGTATTTGCTGCCTCTAAATTTTGATGAACTTCCAAACAAACTTGTTATTCAGTTTTTTTCCCCAGACTTGGGAAAAATAAGATTTGAGGGAGGTCACTAGAAGAGCTCACGAAAAAGCCCCATCCATGAGTCACAGTATACAAGATCCAGCAAATGTTTATAGGGGGAAAAAACAAACACAAGACCAAAGCATAGACATTACCATGAAGACAAACAAATTCCTCCAAACAGACTGCCTTTCCCTGTATTGCTCTGGCTAAGCCCTGAGGGGGATGAAAATGACCGGCAGCCACCCTTCTAGCTCTCCTGCCCCCTGAGGAGAGGTGGGGTGAGGTCCAGTTTTAACATCCTACCCAAGAATCCCAGTGCCTACAGAACATATGATGTAAAAAATTCAAATTTACAAAGCATATCAATAAAAGTATTCTTTACCAAACGACAATAAAAATATTGCTCTTTAGGGCTTCTAGATCACCCAAAGGATTCATTTTTGTTTAATTGATTTTTAAAAAATACCTAAATGTTAAACATTTGAGAACACCTTTCATAGAGAATACATAAGCAGAATAAGAGTCCTAGAAAGACTTTCGAAAGCACCTGATTTAATTGTGTGTGTGTGTGGTGAGTCCAGAAAAAGAAGGTAAAGTGGCTGAAGAGAGAGGAGCAGAGGGTAGGGACCAGTGTGTGGAATGCCAGCTCGGATATTCCTGAGACCTGGAATCTCTCAATAACTCCTCTGCAGTCCCAGTTTGTAGCTGTAACAGCCACTCTGACTGCTGTCACTTCAACATGACTGTGTACCTGGCCGGTGGCAGGGTCAGGGGAGCGTGTGGGAAGACTGCCCGCATAACACCCAGGGACATCATTGCCATCACTGCAGACCCCTTTTCTACAGGGACCCCCTCAAGGCCATGTCGGATCCACACGTGTGGCTTTGTGAGTCCCCAGTCTCTGACTGCATCCTTTCCACTGGTTTGAGCAAATGCTGATGGAGCAGGTCTCACTTGGGCAGCATCTCCAAACTGCCCTCTTAGGGTGAGTGGCGTTTTGCAAAACCATTTCACCTTTAAGAGTGTTTCTTTCTCTTAATAAATTGGGCCAGATAATCCAGGTCCATCCTGGCAGTCTTGCAGCAGTGGCTCATACTGGAGAGTCAGGAAACTATTCTGGATTCAACCAGGAGGGGATAGATGGTTTCAGAAGATGCTGTAGTCACCTGGAGTTTCTGGGAGGACAGCTCCAGCAAGTAACTAGCTACTGAAATTAGCTACATTTGACTGGCTATGGATGATTCAATTTTGTTGTTAAAATGCCTGACCTATTATCTTGCTTCTTGTTTAACCTTTAAAAAGTTTTATTTTGCCCTGGTCAGTTTTACTTAGTGGTTACAGCTTTGGCCCAAGCACCAAAGGGTCTCGGGTTGGATTCCAGTCAAAAGCACATACCTCAGTTGCAGTTCAGTCCTCCGCCCTGGTCTGGGTTGTACAGGGGGTAACCAATTGATGTCTCTCTCTCTTTCTTTCCCTCTCTCACTCTATCTGAAGATAAATATCCTTGGGTGAAGATTTAAAATTTTAAAAAGTTCTATTTTATTTTTAATCTCAACTTCTAAAAATGAACTATTTTAAGCATATACAAAATAACAGAGAATAATATAGTTAACACCCTTATAACCACCACCAGCTTTGTCAAAACATAGTATCTTACCCTATTATCTTCCAGACTTTAATAGAACACTACAGGTTCTAGTGATGTCCTAGGAGCACATCTGTCCCATTTGCCTACCCTTCTTTCTAGGGATAAACTCTAACAATATATTTGCAGTTATCATCATGCTTATTCTCACACTTTTATATATGTTTTTATCTACAACAATATATATTGGCATATTTGGAAACTTAGATAAATAATATTATGCTGTATGTATTCTTGAGTATTTAATTCAACATTATATTTTTAAGATTTGTCCTTTTCAGGTGGGCCTAGTTCTCCAATTTTAATTTATCTGTACAATTCCTTTCTTCCTATAAAAACAACAAAATCTATTTGTCTAGTTGTCTTTTGATGTGGCAATAACCATATATGTAGCCTTGTACACATGCACAAAGACTGTCCTCAAGAGTCATGCTAGGGGTGGAATTACTGGGACAAAATATGAACTTCTTTAAATTGTTTAGATAATGCTGAATTGTCCCTAAGTGGGTCTACCAGTTAACAGCCTCACCAACACTGTATGAGCATTCATGTGGCTCCATATATGCTGGCCAACACTCGGTTTTATCACATTTTGATTTTTGCTATTCAAATAGTATCTGACCATTATTTTAATTTACATTTCCCAGCAGGGATAAGATTAGAGCGAGGCAAACAAATCACCTAGGCTCCAAAATTTAAGGAAGCCATGTAAGCATAGGGAGGACACTAGCCACTTGCACTAACTTGACAGTGAGTGCCTCCTTAAATTCTGTGCCCTCAGCACCTTGCTTGCCTCTCTCTAGTCCCAGCACTGCTGTCAATTATAGCATAAATACTCCAACCTGATTTCAAACACACAGTGCCTGTTACTGGGTCTGAGATCTTAACTGTACTGCAGACTAACAAGTTAACCATTATTGTTTCATGGATGCTGGTGGAGAGCATGAAACTTCTAAGTCAAAGACAAAGGACTTTATTACTCATGGCACAGTAAGCAACAAGATGTTTGTATTAGTCTGAGTTCTCAAGTCCCTAAGCCCCAAGTTCCATGGGACAACTCAAAGGATACTGAGTGGTTTCTGTACAGCTAAAGAGTTTATTTCATAGCCAAGGAACACTGAGCAGAAGATTCATTGCTTTTATATCAATGGAAGCAAGCTTGTTCTTTGCGGGGAAAGGTTTCCTCATTCCTTAAGGTAGCTTACTACAAACACAATCTTGAGGTATGGCCTAGATAAAGAGCAGTAACGGCCTTGCATTTTTGGCACACTCAGCAAAAACATTCAGATGTCCAGGATCCATGGAAGATTGTCTCTCTCAATACCCAGAAATCCTGCTACTTAGGCTACCTCATCAATATAATGTTTTATCAGATTGGGTGCTTGCTATGAAACTACAACTTCGAACTTTACATAACCATAATACACAAAATAAAGTCTTATTTAAAAAAATGAAATTTTATACAAAGTAATTTAGTAGCTACCAGAATACATACAATATTCTAGATTTCAAACTTTAAATTATCGCAATGTAAAAAAAAAAAGTTAATTAATTAATTTTTTTTTGCTCAGATTACTCAGTAGGTGCCTGATTACATGAAATTTTACCTTATATGGCCTGTTTAAAATTGATACAAAAAACTGGATTCTCAGAAAAAAAATCTTTTTAAGTCAGTATCCTAAGTGCCATACATTTTTTACCAGAATCCATAACCACCCCCCCACACACACCCCATTTATCCATATTTTAAAAACTATGTATTTATGAAAGAAGATAAAATTGCTCTCTTAGGTAGAATCAGTAAAATATAATTTTTAAAAGAGATAATGTAAGAATATAAAATGAGGTTGGCAATAACTAAACCAAATGTTTTGAACACATTGAATAAAGTCTTGTTCCTTCAGAACTACTATTAACTAGATGGTGCATTTAAAGGAAACCTGAGAACCCTGGCCGGTTTGGCTCAGCGGTTAGAGCGTCAGCCTGTGGTCCAGAGAGACCTGGGTTCGGTTCCTACTAAGGGCACGCACCTCGGTTGCAGTTTGTCCCCGGCCCTGATTGGGTTGTGCGGGTAGCAGCCACTCAGTGTGTCTCTTTCACGTCAATGTTTCTCTCTCTCTCTTCCTCTCTCTCCCTCCCGCTCTACCTGAACCAAAAATGGAAAAATGTCTTCAGGTGAGGATAAAAAAATTAAAAAAAAAAAAAAAAAAAAAAGGAGACCAAGGAAAGAATGCTAGCCCCCTGATATCAAATTAAGAAGTCATTTTCTGTAAACAAGTTGTTTCTCAAGGAAAGGCAGATGAGGAGCTTGTAAAAACTACCATCATAAGACTCTCCAGTTTCTTTCAGTTTACCTAAATACATGTTTATATGTGCATAAGTGTTTATACACAAATGACGTGTATTAAGACTAGCAGCATTCTCATATAAATTTTCTCTAAGTTGTTTTTGTTTGACCCTAAATATTTATACAATCTGATTTCAGGCATAAGAGTTGACTAATTTTAAGTCTTCTATGATTAAAACACAGTTAGCCTGGATGGTGTGGCTCAGTTGGCTGAGCATCATCTCATGCACCCGGAGGTCAATGTTTCGATACCCAGTCAGAGCACATGCCTGGATTTCGGGCTTGATGCCTAGTAGAGGGTATATAGGAGAGAGCGATTGATGTTTCTCTCTCTCTTTTTCTCTCCCTCTCAATAAAAGCATATTTTAAAAAACAACCACAGTCAAATATGATACAAAATAAAACAAACATTTGATAGACTCAACCACTGATGATAAAAGTTTGTTAGAATTAGGCTTCCATCAGCAAATCTTCAAACAATAAGTGCTGGCAAGGTATGGAGAAAAGGGGACTCTAGTACACTGCTGGTGGGAATGCAGACTGGTGCAGCCACTATGGAAAACAATATGATGTTACCACAAAAAACAAAAAATGGAACTGCCATTTGACCCAGTGATCCCACTTCTAGGAATATATCCTAAGAAGCCTGAAACACAGTCAGAAAGAATATATGTACCCCTCTGTTCATAGCAGCACTATTCACAATTGCTAAGATCTAGAAACAGCCTAAGTGTCCATCAATAGATGAGTGGATAAAAAAGCTGTGGTACATGTACACAATGGAGTACTATGCAGCTGTAAGAAAGAAAGATCTCTTATCCTTTGAGACAACATGGAGGGAACTGAAACGTATTATGCTAAGCAAAACAAGCCAATCAGAGAAAGATATCACATGATCTCACTTATTTGTGAAATATAATGAACAAAACAAGCTGATGAACAAAATAGACCCAGAGACATAGAAGCAGGTACAGACTGACAAACCTCAGAGGAGGGGCAGAGGGGAGGTAAGAGATAAACCAAAGAACTTATATGGATATATGCATAACCAATGGACATAGACAACAGTGCCATGGTGGGAGGGGGTGGGATCGGGAGGAGGGTGTCTATGGGGAGAAAGAAGAAACATCTGTAATAAAAATAAATTAATTTAAAAAAATAGTTTGTTAGAATTAAATTGTGTGGAACCAAGGGATTTTATTGAAATTCTATCTTAAAGGCCATGACATAGGGTTATTTCAAAGTGAAGTTACTACCCACTCACCCAAAGGATGCTTCTGTTTATAATTAAATTATACTCTGGAACTCAGTGCTGACCCTTTGTAGTGGCTCCCAAATAAAGCTGAGCTTTTTCCTTTTGGCTACTTCTATAATGAATCCAGTTTGTTCCTTTCTTTCTAGAAGCAACTGGCTTTAATTAGAAGAAAATTGTGGATTTTCCAAACTAAATAGAGCCCAATGCTATTTTTCCATATTAAAATTTTCTCATTAGTCATAATCCAATTGCAAGCAATTAAAATCAAAAAGTTCTGTCAGACAACAGATTGCTTCAAGGGCACCAAACAACAGGTTTAACTAATTTTTTTCACTAAACTCACTAATTGTTATTATGTAAATATAGCCTTAGACCTGGAGTGTTATTTTTATTATTCTAAAGCAAACATGTATAAATGTGAATATAATTGTTCCTTAGAATTGGGATATTTGTTTTTTAATTTTTATTGTACTCCTTAAAAGTGGAATCCCTTGAAAACACAGCACCACAAAGATACAAGAGAGCTTGGTGATCATCTAACGTCTACCAGTGCACTTGTCCTCTAAACCAAAGCCATAAATGGTATTTTAGCCTCTGCCTGGACACCTCTGCTGATGAGGGGGTCACTACTCTTTTGAGCAGCCCTAACTCTTAGAGAGTTCTTCCTTTTACTCTGTCAGGTTTTACTTTTATAACTTCTATCCTCTGGAATTCTTCACACTATCAGCATCTTTTATCATATAACATTCCTTCCTTCAGCTGTTCAAGTGTCAACTGAAAAAAGTGGAGAAGAGGAAGTTGGAACTTTAATTGCTCCTTTGCTACAGGGGATTATCTCATTTTCCAGAATCTCTTCAAAGTTTTGCCCCACTAGCAGATATCCAAAAAGAAAACAAGGATATGAACATTTCTTGCTCTTTCCCCTTCTTTCTTGTAGGTGCTCCTTCCAGCAACAATTCAGAGTCACAGTGCTATGCAACCACCCTCACTACCTAGCTCCAAAACATTTTCAAGACCCCCAAAGTAATCAATTTATTCTTAACATTCAGTTTTCATAATAGTCGTCTTCCTCTGGTCCTCTTACTTTAGAATCACTTAAAAGTCTTTTTCTTTATTTAATATATGGAATTTTTCAATATTTTCCAAGACTAGAAATCTGGGAGATGTTTCTGAGCAGCCCTTGCCTACTTGTCTAATTATTTAAACATACTTAATGCTTTAGAAAAATATAATAGTTATATCATGAGTAAAATTCCATGCTTACATTTCAGGTTTCCCACAATTTACAGTTAACTAAGATAATGCATATCTGTGTCCTCTGCTTATGAATGTGACCCAGATGGGACCATATCAAGTAGCATTTGTGTGAGCCACTCTGATCCTGCCTTGGGGTCTGTGGCTGGCCCGTGCCTGTGGAAGGAGCCAAGTGCAACCAGTGCAAGTCCAACCACAACAGACTGGACCCCACTGATGCTATGGGCTGCCAGGGTAAGTTAATAGCGCTGGGCAACCAGCCAGGGTGTTTTAAAGCTTGGGGCTGTCTCTGTCAGTTCTAAACTTTGATCATTATAAATACCCAAAGTCCTGCCTGCCTCTCAAGGTATTTTTTTGTTTGTTTGTTTGTTTTGTTTTTTGCTACCAGAGTTATTTTATTCTTTTTCTCTCTTTTTATGAACTTTAATGGGGTGACACTGGTTAACAAAATTATACAGGTTCAGGTGCACAATTCTACATCATTTGTACACTGTATTGTTTGTTCACCACCCCAAGTCAAGTCTTCGTCCATCATCATTTATTCCCTCTCCACCCTCCTCCAACTCCTCCCAATCCTCCTACCCATCAATCACCACATTGTTGTCTACAGCCTCTCTGTTTTTAAATCTAATACAAAAACTCCCATAAATTGTACTTAGTTTAGTTCTCAGTGTTTTGCTGAGTTTGTCATAAGGGACCAGCAGGGGGCACTCACATTTTTTATGCTGGAACAAACAGTGGAAATGCCAAGAAATTTAATGCCAAGTTGTGAAGTCTTTAGAAAAACGCCCTCCTCTAGGGCTCACCTATACAGATTTGTTTAAATCACATTACACATTTCTGAAAAGAAGACTGATGAGTTCTTGGGCAATTTTCATGTGATGGTGTCTTTTTATTTTTTAAAATTACTTTTCTCTTTTTTCTCACATTCCTCCTATTACTTTTATGTTCTCTGACAAAGAAAAGAAAAAAATTAAAAAGCCAGGAGAGGGAATGCAGGGAAATAGAAAGAACCTTAGAGTATTTTTAGGAGGGCCAAATAAAGAGACCCTTGGATTTCAGATCACACACGTTTAGAGCTGCCTGAGGTCTCAACCAGGCAGAATCCTCAAGAATCTGGGCAAATAATGTCCCTTCTTTCACAGCATCATACTGTATATTTTTTCCATATAAAGAACTGTACATTATTTACATGTTTAGAGAGCAGTGTGCTGAATCTTTCTGTAATAAAAATTTCATCTTGAGTTTAATGGCAAAATTAAATTTCAAGATAATAAATTATACAGTCAAGCCAATTTCTCATCACACTTTGCAGCACTCCAGACATTTCCCCTGGTTCACTGACTAAATTATGCTCTCCAAGAATAGGCCAAGTAGTGGTTTTTGTTTGGTCTTTTTCTTTTGTAACAACTTTAGTGAAGTATATTTTACATACTGTGCAATTTACCTTTTAAAGTGTACAATTCAGCCCTGCAGATTTGGCTCAGGAGTTAGAGCATCAGCCCGCGGATGGGAGAGGCCCGGGTTTGGAGTGAGGGGGAGATTTGCAAGGTACCGAATGCTCCAGATCTCTGGACACAGTCTCATTTATTTGCAGGCTGGTACCACCAGGTTACAAGAGGATTTAAGTAAATTATTTCCTTAAGATGGCATTACTGCATACACCCTAGCTTTGTCTCTTGCTTTTTACGGGAAGAGACCTTGAAGCCAAAAGATAACAAACCATTATTCACACACCTGGTGGGGCCGGGTCCCCCTCCCCGTCGCCCCCACCACTAGGATTCCGAGAATGCATTAACACAAGGTTGAGAGTGTTTAACACAAGGTTAAAAAATGTCCATCTTCCAACCCCCCAACTCCACATGATGGAATAGTATTCAGCCTTAGAAAGGAAGGAAATTATGATTCATGCTACAACATGAATGAACTTGAAACAGTATGCTAAATGAAATAAGCCAGAACACACACACACAAAAAACAAATATTGTATAATTCTACTTATTTGAAGTACCTAGAAGAGTCAAATCTATACAAACAGAACATTGCCAAGTGCTGGAGGGGAGGAAGAAATGGTGGGAGATGGTTTTTAATGGGTATAGAGCAGCAGTTTTACAAGATGAAGACTTCTGGAGATTGGTTATGCAACATTGTGAGTTACTAACCGTACTGAAGTATAGAATGGTGAAGATGGTAAATTCGATGTTAAATGTATTCTACTACAAAAAAAAGAAAGAAAAAAACCAACCCATACTCTTTATCTCCTACCTCCCTATCCTCCCATTCCCCCAGCCCTTAGTAGCTATAATCAACTTTCTGTTTCTACAGATTTGCCTATTGTGAACATTTTATAAGCTGGAATCCCATAATTTATGGTCTTTTATGACTGGCTTCTTTCCTTAGCATAATGTTTTCAAGATTCATCCATGTTGTAGCATGAATCAGTACTTCATTTTTTTTTTTTTTGTTACTGAATAATATTCCATTGTATGAATATATCACACTTCATTTATCCATTTATCAATTGATGAGCATTTGGGTTTTTTCATGATCACTGTATTTTTCCCCATGGAAACTATGTGTCTTGTTCTGGTAACATAATTTCTTAGCCTTCATAACATAAGCAGAACTCAGAAATGTCTATGGGTGGAAGAGAAGGAGGAGGAGGAGAATGAAAAGAAAATGTAGCAAGGCAGTAAGAAAGAGGGGAAAGAGATAAGGAAATGATAGATGCACCTGCCAGAGAAGGTGCCATCAGTAATAACCATGATACTCAGAAACCCTTGTGCCTAGTCCACAGCCCAGCCAGCATCACTCAGGATTACAGTGCCAGGTACTCAGCTTGCCTAACTTCCTCCACATTTTTGACTCCTCCTAACTGCCATCCAGTAGGTCTACACGAGGGCTCTGGGCGTGTTTGGCACTGGATTTCCAGTGCAGGGTTGTGAGCAGTACAATAATCATGCAGCCAGGCAGACAATACGCTTCATAGGCCTGGCTGTTCTATGCTCTTGTTGCCACGTGTTTTTTGTTTGTTTGTTTTGTTTTTGGGTTTTTTTTTTTGTACAGATAGAGTGGAAGGGAGAGAGAGGAAGGGAGAGAGAGAGAGAAATATCGACGTGAAGGGACACATTGAGTGGCTGCCACCCGCACGACCAACCAGGGCCGGGGACAAACTGCAACCAAAGTATGTGCCCTTAGCGGGAACAGAACCCGGGTCTCTCCGGACCGCAGGCCGACACTCCAACCGCTGAGCCAAACCGGCCAGGGCGTTGCCACGTGTTTTGCTCAGTGTGAGCTATTAAGGACATTTACAAATGTGGGGAAACAGAAATGAATGACTGTGTATGCTGTGCTTTCAGCCTGCAACTGTAACCCTTTGGGGAGTCTGCCACTCTCGACCTGTCATGTGGACATAGACCAGTGCCTGGGCCAGCCCTCTGCCACCAGACCACACTGTGAGGAGTGTGCTATATGTATTTGCTTACAATTTCCCTTGTAGGTAATGATGCAGATTTCTACTGCCATTGTGTAAGAGAAACTTGGTCTTATTCATTGCTTTCCTTGTCCTATTGTATTTCAATACTCCTGTGCTAAAAATATTTACACTACAGAAATCAGCAAACACTGGAAATCAGCTCCACCCTCCCACAGAGAGCTGTCTGTTAAACATTTACCAGCACACCGTTACCAGGTTGGACTGAACAGACCCAGGCACCCGTCAGTATTTTTTGTTTGTTTCATTTTATTGTGTTTTGCTTTATTGATCTTCACAGATGTTCCTGGTTTATAAAATTGTATTTTTAATAATACCTGACATACAATATTATATTAGTTTCAGATATAAAAAATAGTGATTTGATATTTATATACTTTACAAAATTATTACCACAATTAGTACAGCATAAGGAACATAGCTCATGTCAATAGTTTTATCCTTTGTCTACCTAAAAGTGCCAAGCAGAATATAAGAGCATTTCGCTGTCCCCTCTTTAGGCTCACCAGATCATTGGGTCTCTTCTTCTGTCTACTGCCCATAGTCCCTTTACCACCCCTATCATTCCTTGCCTAAAAATATTTTGGACCAGTTCATTAAAAATAAACAAACAAACAAAAAGCTGGATTTAAATATATTGTTGATTCCTGTGGGAAATAAACTCTTGGATTTCTCATAGACTTCACTAAACATATGAGCATATATGTCTAAAATTAGTCAAATAAAACATTTTTACTTCGTAAGGAATGCATTATGCAATTAGGGAGTTCAAAACCTCTCTTTCCTTTGTTCTGCAATCTTGGCAGCCACCATGACATTTTAGAAAGAAAAAACAAAAACTTAACCTAATAAAAGAACAGTGACCTTGATGCATCTGAAGAAATGTAGCTGATAAATATGAAACATATGCCTATTAGGACATAGTTTTATGCTAATATTTTAAGTAATTTTACTGAAAACATATGAGGATGGCACAGAGGAGGTGGGGAGAGAAAGCATGGAAGGAAGTATAAAAAAGGCACTCTGTGCGATGGCTAGACTGCTCAAAGTTTTACTTAGCAACGTGAGCCACGCCAAGCTCAGTGACCGTGTGTAGGTAACACAAAAAAGCATGCAGATCTGTTTAACAGGCTCCAGAAAGACACCACATCAGCTCATTCCAATATACCTTAGACTCAGGCTGACATTTTGTTGTTGACAACATGACAACAAAATGTTTGCAGTTAACTTGATTGTGTTTGCAGGAGGAAAATAACTGAGCAGTGGGACTTGTGCAGTGTGGCTGAGCCTATGCATCTGCCGGATGCCCCACATCCACATCTGCCCTATGGTGCCCTAGACCTGCATTGAGGTGGCCACATGACAGCATACCCTGCCCAGAGGGGTTTCACAACCACATCCAAGTGAAGTAGTCCATTTCACATTGTTTGTGCTTAAACTGAAATTTGGTTTTGGGAAAAATATCAAAAGTCCTTTGCTGCATTTTGTAACAAATTACATCAACTTTTAATGTTTAAAATAAATCTTTTCGAGTAAAATTTGGCATAAAATTTTACCAAGATAAAAAAAAGTATGGATATTTAAAAAAACCATTTGAAACAATAGTTCCATGCCTAGTAAGAGCTTAATTTTATCTGAGCATGTTTAATTGAGATTTGAGGGGAAAGTATTTTTCTGAGCATTTCATAGTATATCTTAACAGATTTAAGAAATCATTCTTTATTTTTCAGCAGTTGTTTATACTGAATAAAGGTCAAGATGTTGCAACGATGAAAAGTCTTAAATGACAGAGCTGACTCAGGGAGAGAGATTGTTACGCCAGAACAACTTTATTCATAAACAAGTGAGTCTACAAACTGTGATATTCATATAAGAGCTCAAAAATCACCTTAATTTATTTTTTTACCCCAAATTGTTTCAAAATCCCTAGAAATTTTGCAGTTAGGGAATCCCTTGGTTTTATAAAAAGAAGTTGAAGAAATTCTCTTGACTTAAACAACCCAGCTTAAGGCTAAATTGGTTCCATCAGAGGATCTGTGTGGTTTCCATTGCATTTCCACGGGGAGCAATACACAGACAGCTGTCCTGTCCCCTTCATGTCAAGTCATTGGAATGGGAGATAAGTGTCACTGAAGATCATTACGCTACTGTGCTACTGTGTGATTGTTCAGGCTGTGTGGCCATTTGATAGGCGTCAATTGAATTGTAGTGCTTTCAATATTATACGTCAAAGCAGCAAATATCTTCACACATAAATCAACAGCATTTTCTCTGCAGTTTGGATACTGGGGAGTGGGTAATCATCTCCATGCATGTTCTCCCAGTGACTGTGATATTGGAGGTGCTTGTTCTGATGTGTAAGTCAGTAAAATGAATGACAAAGTTCTCTAGCAATATTGCTCATCATTTATCCACATAAAAGCACTTTTTTTTTTTCTGATATGCTTATCATCATAGGTGAAGAAGTTAATTCATGACAAGCAAAGGACATTGAGAAGTGATGATCTGGAGACATTAACCAATTGATTTATTTTACTTGAAATATTTTCAAGGGTGAGATGACAATTCTACTGCCTGGGTCTCCCATGAGATAATGGGATGTCTGCAAATGAGTGAACTGGCCTGCCTAAAACATTTTTTGCCATCCTGTTAAGAGAGATCCTACACTCCTCCTTTTTCTGGTTTTAGAGCAGAATCAGAGCCCTTTGTTTCATGAATCTGGATTTGCTCTCAAGACCAGACTTGTAGAGCACATGGCCTCTTATCCTCCTCCCTAGGACAGTTGATTGAACAAGTCAAAGAATAGATCCAATTTGGGGTAAAGGTAGCCTCCCACTTTCATACTTTCATTTTACACTTGCACTTTCCTTGTTTTTCAGGTGGATTTGTTTTCCCTCAGGTGTTTTTCCAAGAATGGGCAGTGAAAATGCCCCACATGTCACTGGCCTCAGATGCACTGAACCCGCCCCTGGCTACTTTTTGCTTCTTTGAATTTCTATCTCTATGAGGCCGAGAAAGCCGTGCCACTCCACGGACTCGCCCCTTTGGTTTGTATTTCATTTACTTCCCTTACAGACTTCATCTGATGGAATGTCAGTAAATACATACAGCACACTCTTGAGATCATGAGTAAGGTGCCTGGAAAAGAATGATTTTGCCCACAAATGCAGGTCAGAGTAGAGTTTCTTCTGTCATGCAGATTATATAGACTCTTGAAGGCAGAGTCTGCATTTCATTATTTGTGTGTTGTGGGTGGTGGGAATGACACCTGGTGTTAGACTGGTGGGATCAGACTGGACCTGGATTCAGCAACCTTGGTACTTGAGTTCTGGATAGGAAAGAATACAGAGCTAAGACTCAAACTATAAGATAACATTTATTTGGAAAATCACAGAGGTAGAAGTAATGTGCTGAAGAAATGGGCTTAGGAAAAAAGTTATATAGGTAAAGGAAGGGCCCTTGGAATTTCGAAGTGAGAAGGTAATGGTAATGCACCTGGGGGGATAAGGAGAGGGTGGAGAAACAGAAAGGCACTCCCTGGAAGGAGAATGAGCTGGGTCATCCATCCTAAGGGTTTTAAGGGTGGAGATTTTAGGAGAGGTCCCAGGGGAAGATCTCAATAGAATATTCAGCAGCTTTCCAGGTGTGTCCTTTCAGGATGGGGGTCTCCACTGATTCATTGATCAGCACCAGAGCAGGGGGTCATTAATCAATGCAGCTGGTCCTGAGGTCAGCCATGGCATGCTTGTCTGGTTTTGTTGCTTTTCTGGGCCTGGAGCTGAAATACAACTGAGGCCTCTATGGAGGCAAGGTCAGGGGGTACAAACCACAAGACCAGCGATATGCTAGGGGAGAAAAGATCACCCTGGGGACAAAATCCCACACTACACTTGTCCTTTGCTAGGTACCCATGGCTTTTCATGCTGGTTACCTTCTTTGCCTGGCCTATCTTCCTTGCTCTGTTTATGTTTGTTTAACTGCCTATCACATGTGTATCTCAGTTCTAACCCAGAGTCTGGGACATAAGTGTAAATTGGATTAAGTTGTGATAAAACGGACTTGACTTCTGCTCTTTCATCAGATAGAATGTGTTTATTGAGCATCTACTTGTCTGTCTCCCGCGCGACACTATAAACCCAGGACAGGGAAGAGAGGATGTGTGTCCCATTCACCATTGTTGCTCTAGTGCCTGTCACATAAAAAGAACCTGATAGATATTTGCTAATGAATGCAGGAATCAATGAATGAATGAATGAATGAATAAGGTACATGAAAGAAGTATAAATGTGCTCTCTGGACTCCTGAAGCTGCTCTGGAATTAGCTGTTGTCACTAAAGTCAGTGATGTTCACAGGAGCAAGTTATTGCAAGTATCACTTGCTGGTCTACTTCATTTCCCACAAGTCACATTCCTGTGGAATATGTCAACCTGTAAGAATTTTAATGAGTTTATTTGGGCCAAACTGACAATTGCTTGGAAGCAAAATCTCATTGGATTGAGAAAATGTTCCAGAAAATGGCAGTTTTATCACTTAATTTAGACATCAGATTCAAAGGAGAAGACATAGGAGATTACGTGAAATCCATTGGTGATAGATTAGGGAGGTGGGAGAAGCAAAGTGGGGAGATCTCTGGAATTGGATGAAAAGTAAAATGAATAGACACATACTTCTTTTCCTTAGGTGGGTCTAGGATAGTTAACAGCTAACAATTAACCCAGTAACAGTAACTATGCGGGGGTTTCCTGGTCTTACATGCGCTCTGGTGGGAGACTGTGCCTTGAGGGGTCTGGAAAAAGAAGATTATTCTGACATTCCAAAGGTATGTTATCCTAGATGCAAAAAGACAATAGACAGGTTCAGTTGAGGCAAACATTGACCTTTGTCAGGGAAGATGCTGGCCTAGAACATGACTATCCACCATGACCTGCTTTTAGTTAGAAAGTTTTAATTCAGACCATCCTATGTGGTTACTTTGGTCCCTAAATTTGTAAGGCCACCATGAAGGCCTCCCCTGAACTTGTAAGGCTATGTATGTGGTTCCTTTTTGGTCTACAGATATTTTCCCTAAAAACATTTTTCTTAAAGTCTTGTTAGAGACAAAGACACACATATGCCAAATTATTAGAAAAAATACAAATTAGACATCCATAACATTTCTCAAGCATGTGACTCCAGCCATGGACAGGAATATGACAAAGGGAAAGGTAATGTAAGGTGAAAGTCTTCCATGAGAAAAATCATGTGAAAGTTGATTCTGAAGACAGGGCTTGGACAGAAAACAGGGGGAACTCATTCCAGCTTCCAGGGACTAAGTCATTTCCTGACATCTCTTCCTTTTCTGAACACTGATAGAAATTCAAAGACATACAAACTCATAAGAGATAAAAAATGCTACTATGAGTCTTAGAATTTGCTCTTTTAGTGACTGGAAATGGGGCAGCAACAGGAGGCTTTCATTGTCTCTACTTAGACTTACAACTGTGTTGAGTGGAATCAAAATGAAATATTCTATGTCTGCATTCTTACTTATGGTTTTTAACATTGCATCTTTATAATGGTGATAAAAAAAACTTTGAAAAGGAATGTTGATATTTATAGTTAGGCTATATCTATCGTGAAATAATACAGAAATATATGTATATATTTGTCTTGGCCCTGGCTCCTGACACAGAGTGCCTAACTCCTTTGTAATTTCTAAGTGATAAGAGTGCTTAGAACATCTTTTGTTCCAATATTTGGTCTTTGACCTGGCTCCTGATGCAGAGCTCCTAAATCCTTTGGAATTTCCTGAGTGATAGAAGGAGATAGGAGTGTCCTTTGTTCTAGTGAGGCAACTCTTGATGGGCTCCTGGGCAGTTTTGGGATGGGGACTGGTCACCTGAAAAACCAAGCCATTTAATTAGAAGCTTGAGACTTTCAGCCCCACCCTACATCTTCCAGGAAGGGGAGGGGGCTGGATATTGAGTTAATACCTGTATAATAAAGTCTCCATAACAATCTCAAAAGTACTAGATTCAGAGACCTTCCCATGTTGATGAACACATCCATGTGCTGGGAGCATGCTGTACCTCAACTCCAATAGCACAGAAGCTCCTATGTTTGAGACCTTGCCAGTTCTCATCCTATGTAGCTCTTCATCTGATTGTTTATCTGTATATTTTATCATGTCCTTTATTATATAATACACCAGTAATTATAAGTATTTCCCTGAGTTCTGTGAGCAATGCTAGCAAATTGTTAAACCCAAGGAAGGGGTCACAAAAACCCCATTTGTAGCCAGTAGGTCAGACATACAGGTAACAACCTCTACTGCTGATTGGCATCTGGAAGGGGGGAGGGAGGCAGTCATATGGGACTGATTTCATGTTAATGTTATGTGTGGAAGTGGAGTTCTTGGGGTGCCACAGGGAAAAGAATTTCCTTAGGCCCCCATGGGAGGATGGGTTTTGTGGAAAGCTTTATTGATGATGCAAAATTAAGGGGTTTGCCCTCCAAGGTTCCATCTCTGTCCGTCTCGCCATGGAAGAAGTCCAATCTTGTCTTTAGCAGGGCTAGAATTAAGACCACTGTCCAGAGTTTCTGCTCCATATTAAAGTACAGTCTATTCCAGCATCTGGCTAGCTTAGCTTGTGTTCCCACCTACAGTCCATTGTATGTGGGGTCCATATAGCCATGGGCCATGTGGCTCCTTAAGGCCACATGGCAAGTGAGCAGGCAGGTGATGGAGCAAGAGAGAGCAAGAAGAAGGGAAGGGGACCCTTTGTCTGGGGAATTTTAACTTTTCAAGATTTCATGTGTTTGCAGTGGCTTCACCCTTCTAGCCAATGATCTTGTTCTCCAGGCTAGACTGACAGGCAAGTACCTTCCCTATGTCACCCCCAGTTCACTGCACATGTGCCCATCTCCTCCTTTGTCAGATGCCTTCCCCCAATGATCTGCAGGGAATGGACCAGTAGTTTCCTGGGGAGCATAAAGCTGTAGCTTCCTGGTGAAGCTGCCCAGATGACCATGCCTATAATGTCTGGTCTCCCCCTTTCTCTCTTCCCTAATGTTAACATTAATTACAATGATAACACTAACTCCAGGTAGATAGTGTCAGAACTAAATTAAATTGTAGGATAGCCAGCTGGTGTCAGAGATTTGATGGGTATAAGAATACACCCACACATCTGATGTCAAGAGTGTTGTGAGTATGGTAATAGTGTGAGAGTACAGATGAAACACAAGAGTGTTTGTCCTATACAACAATAAATAAAATAGTTCCAATTTTCCAGGTAAGAAGACACAAAACAAACATGATTATTTAAAAGAGATGGACTGTTATTTAACATTTATTCAGTATGCACCATGTGGTAGGTGTTGACAAGCAATTAAATAGGGTCATATCACATATGCTAACACAGCTCCAACTGTGAATAGAGTGACTCACAAGATTCTTTACTCCTCTCTCCACAGTTTAAAGAAAAATATTGAAGATACAGAATATATTTATTTATTATGATTCTCTAACTTTCTTTTTTTAATTAATTAATTTATTTTTGTTAACAGATGTTCGGTAGAATTTTCCTGTGAAGCCTTCTGGGCCTGGGCTTCTGTTTGCTGGGAGAGTCTTGATTACATCTTCAATTTCTTTTGTTGTTATTGGTCTGTTCAAGTTTTCTATCTCTTGTGGGTTCAGTTTGGGGAGACTATGTGTTTCTAGAACTTTGTCCATTTTGCTTAGACTGTCAAATTTGTTGCCGTATAATTGTTCATAATATTTGTTAACAATCCTTTGTATTACTGTGGTGTCATTATTTCTCCTCTTTTTATTTCTGATTTTGTGTATTTGGGTTCTCTCTCTTTGTTTTTTTGTGAGTCTAGCTAAGGGAACTTTAATCTTGTTTATCTTTCAAAGAGCCAGTTTTTTGTTTCAGTGATCCTTTGAATTGTTTTTTGTTTTTGTTTGTTTTTGTTTTTTTGGTCTCTGTGTCATTTATTTCTGCTCTGATCTTTACTATTTCCTTTCTTTTGCTTGCTCTGGGGTTTTCTTTTTGTTTGCTTTCT